TTAAAATCACATTACCCGTCATAAAATGCCATTTAAATCATAAAAGAAATTCCCATAAATTCCGAGGGAAACAAAACATTAAAGTTCAGAGTTGAAAGAATACAAATGCATAAATCAAAGCATAAACTGCAATAAATTATGCAATTTGCATTTAAAAAACACAAAAAAATAAATACAAACAATTCGTAAAAAAAAGGAAAAATTGGAAAATATTTCCACAGACAACAACAAATAGAAATGAAATGACAAACAAATGTGAAGCTAATTTGTCAGCTTGTTGATGCCACACATCCACTGACAGACAGACAGATAGACAGACAGCAAAGCACACAACAAGATTGAGGGGGAGGGAGAGGGGACAGGGGACAGGGGACAGTGGAGGGATCCAATGAGACCACAAAAGCCATGAAGCCGTCACTCAATCAGATACGCAAAACGAATTGAAATCCGTGTGCTGGATGGCTGAATGACTGCATGGCTGAATGGCTGAATGACTGAATAACTGAATGACTGAATGACTGAATGGTAGGTGAATGCAATTTACAATTAAAGCAAGAATGCGTACCCTTATTTCCATGGCGGGTGTAATTTCAAGGCAATTACCTATAATATTTATGGCCAGACCGCAAAACATTTGTCCAGAGCTGCTTTTACATGTGTAATTGGCAAACAGGACGTTGGGTGGGGGGGCGGCGGCGGCACTGGTGGGCGTGTCACTGTTCACAGTTTGCGTTAATTAATTGACCAAACCAAACAGTGCCACCTGTTGGCGCTGTGCGTGAAGGCAGAGGAAAAACGAGGAAAAGAAATTGGCAGGCAGACATTTAGCGTTGCCACAGGAAACAGGAGATGGGGCACTATTCCTGCAGCACTAATCAGAGTCCAAAATTTATGGGGGGGCCCCAGACATGCACGTTGACATGTCGACAAATCGATAGGCGACCCAGGATCAACATCAACATCGGAAGCAGCAGCAGCATATGGCTCCCATAATGCAACAGATTTGTCAGACATTTGCCTGCTGGCCACAGCAGCACACACAGCCCGGACATCCCCCGACGGGCAGACAGGCCAAACATTTGCAGTTGTCAGGCATTTACCTCTGGCATTTCGCCTGTGCATGAAACTAAAAGGACCTGCCCGCCGGAGACAGAGCCGCATATAATCTAAGGGCCAATAAAAGTTTGTCATAATGCATACAGAGACCGGAAGGACACTCGGCTGATTATATCCCGAGACTTGCTCGCACTGTTTTGGGTTTATGTGTGATGGAGACTCAACTCAATTAGAAGGCAATTGTGTTCACTCAAGTGCAATAATTAGTCGGATAATAGGAGCCACCGAGTAGAAACCACTTCAATTGAATTATATCATATGGCTGGCCAATAGATTGCAGCTCCCTACGGATTGTGCGGTGGAATTTAATTTGTGAATCCTTGACCTGTTGCTAAGTCGAATTTTGGGGACATTTAATGAGTGGGCATAAATCACAGAGACACCGAACGAGCAGGTTTTTGGCCCAAAGAGTGTTTCCAGGAAGTAACCGGATCGCTATACAATTACAGTGTGCCCTCTCCGAAGGAACCAGGGCAACATGAGACACCGTTAGCAAAGTACCAGAAGCAGGACCCAGACAAGGAGTTGAGAGACAAGAATGATATTGTATGGAAAGTATCGCCTTTCATCACAGACAACGACAGAGAGCCCGAGGAGCTGGAGGGACTCCACTGCGGCATTGTCTGAGTGTAATGTAGCGCCAGTGTTGCCATGTCTTATTGTTCCCTCTCGTAAAGCATTTATTGAAGATTTACAACCAACAAAGCAACAAAGCAACAGCAGGGGCAACATTCGGCAGTGCGCCTTTTGGCATCCAAGCAGCTTACATATTTTCCCCATCTACTCGCCCCACGGCAGCATAATTTCATTTACTTTGGGGAGAATCGGACGAATCACACGAATCGTAGGACTCCGGTGCAAGGGGGGCGGGTCGGGAGCGAACGCGTGATTCCGGAAGGCAACTGCAGGACGTAAAAGTTTTGCAGTTATGTCCGCCAACAAGCAGGAACAAGAGCAAATGCTTATAAGTATGCTTACCATTTTGTATTTGGCTGCCACTGGAGCTGCAACTGCTGCTGACGCACGTACCGGAAGTGTGCCGGGGAGGGGGGCTGGGGCTGGGGCATGGAGCACGGAGCACAAGGACGACACACGTCACGGCAAAAGTTAAAAGTTTGCCATCAATGTTTGCATTTCAAGTTTCACTCCTGGATGGCAGTTCATTTTCCCCGAGCGCTGCGCACAGACGTCCTTGACAGGATGACAGCCAGGATGGCAGAGCAGCAGCAGCTGCAACAAGCAATGCCTCACGCAGGCTTGTAGTTTTTTTTTTTTGCGCTTGAGCTAATGAAAAATGCATTGAGTGGCTTTAAACTCGAAAAGTCTGCGACTTCAACTTGTCTCCGTTAACCCAGAGATCATCGGCAGAAGGTGGTTCTATACATCCAATCAATGGGGATTCAGCCTGCAAGAGTGGAATCCCCGCCCTCCCCTGGTGCCATGTCTTTGATGGTCTCTGGTCTCCGGTGTGTGGTCTCTGGTGTGTGATGCCTGCTTAAGGAACTTCAACAAATTAGATAATTCTCTGGGAGAATGAACAGCACTGGCCCCAAGTGTGGCGGCAAAGTTTGTTGATGCTTCCACGGGGTGAAAACTTCAATTCCCCGATCAGGGGCAGTCCTTTGCTGTCTGCCTCCTGCCTTGTGTGTGTGTTGATTGTTGTTAAGCTGTTGAACGAGTATTTATGCGCGTTTTTTGTTCCCAGCATTGGCCATCGATATATAGGGTTTCATCAGCACTAAGAAGCCGCATTGAAGGCGACAAAGCTGGAAGGAGCAGAGCAGAGCAAGTTTTGACTTAACAACTTCATCTCTCATCAGTTGGAAGCGGGACGGGCGGGCACTTAGTTTATCTGACAGCCTATAAGAGTACGTGGGAGTGTGTGCACAATAAGATTTCTTAGCGCATTAAGCTGGGGCAGGGACTGGGGCAGGGGCAGGGACAGGAGTGGAAGCAACAACAAATAAATGCCATTAGCAGGCAGCCAAACTGTAAGCCAAAATGGCGCCATCAACGCGAAAATAATACGGGAAAATGCGGCGTTAATGGCAGCGCTGAAAGGAAAGACAGAGAAAAACAGAGAGGGATAGAGAGGGAGAGAGAGGGAGCGCATGTGAAGGCAAACGATATTATGATTATGATTATTATGTTGCTATTAGATTAAGAGCAATTTTAACTTTTTCCGCTCGCAGACAAAGGCTTGCCTCAGCCCACACCCCACACCCCCCCCGTGAACACCCTTTGAACCCATTTCCTTCTGGAACTTCTCATCTTTTCTTTTCTTTTCGCGTTTTTTGCTTTCCTTTTTCCTGCGTCAACGCCTTCCGTTTGGCTTTGGCTTACGACACTTGACGCCCAAGAGGCGGCACAGTCCTTGGTCCTCAGAGCCTGCTCCTGTTCCAGTTCCAGCCTGGGTCTTAGCCACGCTTAATTGGTTGGCTTTTATTACTTGGCAAGTGCTGCAAGCGCATAATTTGCCACGGCTCTGTACTGTACAGTGGGGCCAGGCTCGGGATTAAGGAGAATTCAAGAGGAGGAGGGGCCTTATTCGGTGTCCCAGGAGTATGTGAATGAAAATACCTGGAAAATTGAACAATTAAATGTGAATTTCCACGAATTATTTGTCTTTTTTTGTCAAGTTTTTGAAAGAATTTTTTGGGATTGGAAATATTTGTAGGGGAATTTCTTTTGTTCTCCGATTCATTTCCAATGCGTGCTCCTCCTCCTCCTCCTCCTCGGGAACTGGGAAATCTTTTTTTTTTAATTAAATAAGCATCCCGTAGATTAGGGGAAGGCGGCCTGCGGCCCTTTCCTGGAGTCATGCTGGCTGCCTCGCTTCGCACCTACACATTCCGTGGCACACGGCCACGCCCACCCGCCCAAGACTCCGCCGAAACAAAGGGCACAAGGAGGTGGGGTGGGTGGGGTGTGCGCGTGCTTTCGGTAGTTTGTGGCGCCATTTTAGCGCGAAATGAATTTAAATTGTTTGCCGGAGTTTCCTGCATTAAGGGCAGCTTCCTGGGTGCCTGGGCTGTGCCTCTTGGCCAAAAGAAGAAGAAAAAACGAAAATTACTTAATTACAACAATTATTATGTACTAGGCCCCTCCCCCCTGGCTATGGGTTGGAGGGGGCACTTCCTGGTGTATTCCGATGTTGCTGCCGGCCTGATCTTTTGTTGCTGCTGTTGTCTGTTAATTTAATTAAATATTTTCACACCTTCTGCTGCTACAAAGGGTCTTCATAGATTCCCTCTTCCTCTTGGAATTTTAGGTGTTAATTTCCTGTCTAGGAGATGCAGCCTGCCGCCGCTGCTGTTGCAAGTCGTCGGCTCCAATAAAAATAATTGCCACGGCCAGACAGGCAGCAGAAGAAGTAGAAAATTACAAGGCACTCACTCCGCGTGTAGTCCTTGGAGTCCTTGGAGTTTTATGCCACGGAAAATTGCATGCGAAATAATTGAAAAGCATCGACTGCAGCTTTGTCTTGCTGCATCCTCCGGGTGTGGATAAAGTTTTCTTCGCAGCGCCCGAAATAATAGGAGCCAAAGTGGTTGTAAATATTTTGCGCCCAGCATCCGGTTCTCTGTCTGCCCCAAAGCCCCCTGCGCCCCCCCTCCGTCCCCGCAGCGTGACAAAATGCTGCGAAAAGTCATTTTTCAGCTAAATGAATTTGCGCCAACTGCGCAAAAAACAACGACCAAGAAAATGGCCAGAAAATGGGAGCATTTCGGCCATCTCAGGAGTCGGACGGAAATGGCTTTGTCACTGGGTCCAGCATCCTGTGGGTCAGGGGCGGCAAGTTCAATGGGCAACTAATGAGGCGACCTTAAGATTACTTTTTCACGATTTACTCAGCGCAAAAAACTTTTCCCTTACCATTGCAGGTCCTCCAGGACCGCCGGGGCCACCGGGCAAGCGAGGGAAGCGCGGCAAGAAGGGCGACACCGGCGACAAGGGCGACGCGGTAAGTGGCTAGCCAAGTGGCAACAAAACCCGTTCCATATGCTAAGCGAAAAAGAGTTCTCTTCACGATCCGCACAGGGTCTCAATGGCATCAGCGGCGAGAAGGGAGCGGCTGGCAAGCCCGGCGACAAGGGCCAGAAGGGCGACACCGGCCACCCGGGCATGGATGTCTTCCAGACGGTGAAGGTAAGTTCGTGTCCGTGCCACAACCTACCATCCAAAGCGAACGAACGGCTGCTGCAATTCTCGGCTCTCGGCTCTCGGCTACAAAATTGAATAGCGTCTAACTGGATCTAAATTGCTTTTGCATTCCTAGGGTCTGAAGAGATCGGTGACAACGCTGCATGGCGGCACGTTGGGCTATGCGGAAATAGTTGCTGTAAAGGTATAGAGCCCGACCCCCCCTCCACCCCCCTCTCACACTTAGTCCTAGTCTTAGTCACTGTAGTCCTTGCGTAGATGTCGTCGTGGTCATGGCCATTGCTCAAAGGGCAAATGCAGATGGCCAGGAGATGGCAGCGCAAATGCAACAAATTATTTGCAACTTGTTGTCCTTGCCTTGTCCTTGCTCTCTCTCTCTGCCACTCTCCGTGTGGTCCTGTTTGCTGGCCGTCTGCAATTGTCCTTCCCATGTCGTAGTCGGTCTTGTTGTAGTTGTATTTTACGAGTACTCTCCGTCCCCGCTTCATTGTTGTTTGTATCCGTAATGCTTTTAAGTTGTCTCCCCAGTCTGTTGTCTCCTGTCGCCTGTCTGCTGTTCCTTTGTTTAAACTGCACCATAAATTTGTTGCAACATCTCCTTCCCCTCCTCCCCTCCTCCCTTGCGTTCTTTCCATTCCTTTGGACACTTTTTGGATGCCTTTTCATTTCGTAGATTCCTCGGTAATTTTTAATGGAATTTTCTCATGGCCGCTGGCCGTTCTCTACTGCTTTTCCCGTACTGTATTGTAGACTTTTGAGTTTGACACTCCACTTGGTGGGGTCCTTGGTCCTTGGGCCTTGGTCCTTGGGCCTTGGTCCTTAGTTTGCGGTTTATTTGCTTTTCATTTGCTTTATCTTGCTTTTTGCAGCAGCTTCTTCTGTTCTGGTATTCTGTTGATTTATTAACCATTCTTTATTTTGAATATTACTTTGATTAACCGATTTTTTAACGTTTTTTAACTCCATTTTTGGTTGATTAAAATCCTGTCTGTTTCGGTTGGTGTTTTGTGGTTGGTGCGCTGTAAGGACTTGCAAGAAGCCGGCGTCAATGTGTCCGCTTCCACAGTCATACAGCTGAAGGTAAGTTACTGGCCCACACCCAAATGCCACGCCCAGGAATCCTTACACCGTCCAGCATGTCCTGCACGCGCCCATCTCTCTTACTAACCTCTACGGCCTCCAGTTAATCCTTTTCTGGCAGCACCATGGACGATCCTAAGCTAATAAACATCTCTCTTTCTCTCTGTTTGCGGCCAGGGCGAGCCTGGGGAGCCGGGTCCGCCGGGACCAGCGGGCGAGGCGGGACAGCCGGGGGTGCCGGGCGAGCGAGGACCACCGGGCGAAACTGGAGCGCAGGGCGTCCAGGGCGAGGCCGGACAGCCGGGGCCCGCCGGACCGCCTGGCGTGTCCGGTGCACCTGGCACGAAGGTGAGTAGTGATTCACCGAAAAACCCAAAACAAAGGCCCCAGATAAGGACACACACACACAGAACACATAACGAACGAACCGAAGAAGATGTCACCGGGATTAATGCATTATCTGTATCTGTTGGATAAACATTGTGACGTTTTAAGTGACTGACTGCCAAGTGATTCGTAGTCGTAGTCCTTTCGTGTGTGTGTGTGTGTGTGTGTGTGCCTGCTTTTGTTCTTTTCGGGTCGGTTTTCCACATTATTTATCGTTTATTTATGTATTAAGCGCCCGCTTTTGTTGCCACATCCCTGCCGCACCTTTCCTTTTTTCGACATTTTCCTGCATTTTCCACTTAATTTTCCACAATGACTCACTCGCATCCGCATGCGTCTCTCCGTCTCTCTCTCCCTCTCTCTGTCTCTGTCTCGTTTACAGGGTGACAAAGGCGATCGCGGCGATCGGGGACTAACCACAACCATCAAGGGTGACGAGTTCCCTACGGGCATCATCGAGGGTCCGCCGGGACCGGCCGGACCACCTGGTAAGTGTGGCAGCTGTACGGGTATATCTGTTTGTTTGTTCATTTCATCCAACAGCCACTTAAGCACTCTCAGACACAGATACAGATACGGATGCAGATGCAGTCGCTGGCCTGGGAATCGATCGATCGTTGAGGTTTTCAAGTGCTGCCACGCGGCTGCGGGTCGCCTAATTTATAGGCCATCAACCGAAATCTGGGAATGCTCTCTCCCCCGCCCCCCACACTCACACTCACACCCACACCCACATCTAATTGAGTCATTGACGAACGGAACATTGCGTCCCCTGGCCTGGCCTTTGATTTTTGGCCTCTTATTTTTGGGCCAGCGGCTCGTTAAAATGGAAATCAAAATGCCAGCCAGCGCTTGCATTTCCGCTGCCAGGCCAAATACATTTTTTAAATATTTGATTTCGAAGCCTCCGTCCATATTTGGGGAAATTTTTGGGGAATTTTGCGATAACATTTACGACCTTTGCGCTTGGATGCTGCGCCATGCCGCATGCCGCATGCCGCATGCATAGTTCGACGTCAATTAAATGCGCACCAAATTGTTGGCAGCTCGACAGCCCACTCCGACCCGCCCACTGCCAACAACAATAGAATTTCCATTTGTTTGGTTTGGCCTGTTTTTATGAGCTGCCTGGCCCCAAACACATTTCTGCACTTTATTCGAATTTAATAAACGAAAATAGCCACCAAAAACACGCCGTTCCCGAATAGTGGAGCCTCCTAAATCTGCCCGCCCCCCCCAACTACGATTTCCATAAAAATTTGTAGACCCCGAGAACTCGAAACACTTCTAGGCAGTCGTAAAAATGCAACTTTATGTCATTTATGTTGCTTTTAGCGGCTCATTAGCATGGGACTGGACTGCCATCGAGAGCTGGAGCTGGAGCTGGAGTACAACAATACTTACACGGAATGGATTGGAATGGCTTGTACTATTGGTTTTACTAGGGGCACTCAGGAGGGGTATAATAAATAAGCAATCGGTGCATGTCACGGATTAAGCCCAATGATGAGTGGATAGATTGATGGCCTATAAATGTCGTGTGCGACACTGAAAACTCCTTTGCCGAGTTGATGGATTGTCGATGGATGGATGGAGGAGGGCTCGAAAGGAATTTCAATTAAACTGGCAAACAGAGATTCTGATTCAATAACCAATTTATGCCTCCGATCTTGCGATTTGGACTACCAGTGAGTGCCCCTAATGCATTTGAGCGTGCCATCAATTAAGCGCTTGTCCGCGGCTTGTACAACCCGCATCCTCCGCTCTGGCCTTATCAGTGGGCTGGCATCAGTTGCAGTTGCAGTTGCAATGGCCATTGTTTCTAGATTTCTTCCTGGACTGCCACTGCCACCAGAGATCTGCCGCAGCGATAGCCGTCGACAGTTGCATCCGCCCGCCCCCAGTGCGCCTCGGCTTCTGTGGGTCCATGTCCGCCTTGATGGACATGAAATTGCAATTTATTTGTGCCGCACCGAAAATCAGCGACCAACTGGAGCCCAGGGGACAGCGTTTGGTCTTGATTTGAATAAATTGAGTGTCATTTGTATTTTGGGATGCCCTGCGTCTGGTCTCGACGGCTTATCTTATCGTTCTCGTAATTAGTTAAGCTTTTCTCTGGCACACAGACCCTCTCACAGCAATTGAATGTGTCATTTGGAGTCTCTCTGGGCCCACACAAAATCTCGGAAGTCTCAGCTGTGTAATGGCAAAAAATTCAATTTATTTCATGATTTATTTGAATTTCATTTCATTTGGGTTTTTGGTTGATTGCATTTCGTCTTTTGGGCTCTCACTAGACTGGACTCTCTGGACTGAAATTAAAACTTATCTCTTGCGTTGCCATCTGCAAACAGGGCAACAAGCGAAACAGGACCGGCAATCCAATATCCTGGACACTATAAATCCACAATCCTGCCACTCCGAGTCCGACTCCGAGTCCGACTCCGAGTCCGACTCCGAGTCCACTCTGCAGTCCGCAGACCGCTCTTCTTCGAGGTCTTTTCTGTCTGGCATTGTGGAAATAGTTTTTATTTTTATTTTTATTTCCATTTGTATTTTGTTTGCAATTGTCGCCTAAAATGCTTAACGGTGAATTATGCAACCATAAATGGGAAAACTCTGGCCCAGACAATGGAGTAGCACAAGGGGTGGTGGGTGTGAGGGGGGGATACAGACACATACTTTATAAACAAATGGGAAACGACATCTACAGGATCCACAGGCACGTCCGTCCAGAGGCTGGCTGGCAAATTTATGCTCTGACCAAAGGACGTCCCAGTCCTCGACCTGGCCCCTAAAACCCCAATTTTACGAACTTAATAAATTTTCTATATCTTTTCGCACACACACAAGGGGCACATTTTGACAAGCCGCACAATTGGATTTATCTATGATATGACTCCTCTTGTGCCTCCCCCATTGTTGGCTCTGTGTAAATGGTCTCATTTAATGGCCATGGTAAACAGGCAGAGAGCCGAGAGCCCATCATGGCCAGCCCTGGCAAAAAAGGAACGCTATTTCTCATTATTTTAACTAAACAGGTTGCCCAGCCACAGTGGGGCAAAGTCAATTGAATGCTGATGGATTTATGGGCCACTTTGAGGTATCGCCCAGAGTTGAACAACAGAACGCGCAAATTGAGTGAACAAACGGAGGGGCTTTCGATGGGTGCCAAAGTGGCTGTCGTTCGAGGACCCAGACCAAGACCAAGCCGAAGACCAAGAGATTGGAAACAGATGAACACAAATTGGATTTGAATGGCAAGGAGCATCAGCAGGAACGGAACACAGATTCAATTTCAGCTCCAGTTCATTGGGCAGATCTCCTCGATGGCATAAATAAATTCCAGCTGCTTTGGCAGCTGCCGGCTGTTGGCTTCTGGCTTCTGGCTGCCGGGGAAAGCAGGGAAAGTGCAACTTTTGCATATTAAATTGTTATTCTGCATCTGTTTGCCTTTCGATTCAGCTGCTGAGTTGCGTTCTGCTGGAGGTATAAGTAGGTCAAGTCGCGTCATTAGCATAGGAACTAGTCGAAGAAGATGAGACCACAAAGGCCTTGAACTACGAGATACAATGATTGGCAACCACTGTGTCTTCCACTTTATTTCATTCTTTGGTAAATAAACAATTTGCATTTTGAACTAAGCCAGAGCATCCCATCCATCCCGTGCAGAGGATTGGTCCGTCCTGTCATCAAACCAGTTGAACAAATTGCTGACCAAAACCAACAACAAATGATTGTGGACACACTCGGGGGGTACCGGGCAGGCGGTTTATTGAGCTCTTGTTGCTCTATAATTACAAAAGGTAGCGATCCCAGCCCCCTCCCTACCCCCTCCCCGCCCTGTTTGCGTAACACTTGCGGGCGTATCTGTATCTGTATCTGCGTATCTGAACCTGAATCTCTCTCTGTATCTGTATTTTGTTTACACGAATTTTGGGTAAATCTGTCACTAGAAATTCCTGGCTAAAATTAACATTTTCCCGCACCGCACAGGTCCACCAGGGGAGCCCGGCGAGCGCGGCGAGGCGGGACCCATCGGACCGGCCGGACCCCCCGGCGAGAAAGGACCGCGCGGCAAGCGTGGCAAGCGGGTGAGTAATCAACAAAAACGAAAACGAAAAAGAAAAACTTGATTTCCACTCGATTTTTAATTGGAAACCCGACCGAAGCGGGAGGCTGTAAATTGAGTTGAAAAACAGCAGTGAAACAGCGAAACAAGAAGTGTATTATCATGTAAATTACTTTTGTAAAAATGTGCGTGGGAGTGTGCGTGCTTTAATGTTATGCTAATCTGTAAATATAAGTGCGTCAAAGCTCCGCATACCCGAGGGGTGTGGAGGTGTAAATATGAAGTGGCACTGACAGCACAGCCCCATTCCCATCCTATCGTATCCTTTCGTATCCTTCCGCATGGCCGCTCCGCTGGCTCTCACCTGCATGTTGAATGTTGTCTATATAATGAGCATGTTTACACGACTCCAGCCAGGAACGTGCTCATTACATAGCCCGTAATGAGAACTATGTACATACATACATACGTACGCACCACACGTGTATCTGTGTGTGCCTGAATATGTTTAGATACTGTGGAGGAGCACAACTTTAACGCGGCGGAGCCAAAAACAACAAGAAGATGTTCGTCGTTCGTCGTGCGTCGTTGACTACAATCAAAGTTCGCCAAGCCGAGCCCTGATGATGTAAGGATGTTGATAAGAGTGCGTACAAGTATCTGACAGATACTTTGCCCGACAGTCCCCCGGGACGGAGGACGCCCGAGTGAAACTATGTCGAAGCCCATAGAAATTGTCAAAAATGTTTTCGCGTTCTAATCTGGCGCCTAATTTATGGGCGCCGCCTCCCAGGAACACTGCCCACAGATACTCTTCGAGTATCTGCAGCATTTATCTAGTCGTTTTCGTTTTGTATCTACGATGGGGGGCCAGGGCGGCTTTCGTTCTGGAATGTCAACAGTGCAAAGATACTTAACATTTTTATTGGCACTTGAAGTGTCGGCAGCTGTTGCCGCCTTCTGACGTGTTGATGGATGCACGATATGGTTAGGGGCGGGGGAGGAGCCATTGGTGGAATTTTCATTTCATTTTTCTTTTCTTTTCTCTGCTCCGCTCTGCTTTGCCGTGCTCTGGGGAGGGGGGGCATATATGAATATGTAGCGAAGCCAGCACGTGTTTGTGTACGTTATGAAAAATGCATAAGCGCCGCCAGCGAAGCAGGGGATTGTGTGTGTGTGGGGGATGGGATCTCCCTTACGATTCAACTTGATCTGGGGTGCTGGGTATTGCTATTGATATGGGATATGTGCCTGTGTTTGTGTGCGTATATTGTATATTATGTTGCTTCCTCAACCAAAGGCGCAAACATTTGCGCATTTTGCCAACATTCATGGACCTCAAGGAGGGGAAAAAACATTCTGATTATTGTGCAGCGCACAACAACCAAAGCAATCGGAGAGGCACAAGGCAAAGTCAAAGTCAGTTGGGGTTGGGGCTACTACTCGAGTTGTTTCTGTAATAACGCGTAATGCCATAAGAAACAGGCGATGGCATACCGAATGCCAATACGCCCGGCAGCCAAAACAACAAACAACAAACGGCGGCTGGCAGCAGGCAGCAGGCAGCATCGGCAACCGGCAACGTGCAACGCAGCTTTTATGACTCTGCCGTGGATTTTCTTTCAATCCGAACGAGGGCAGCTCTACGATTTCGGCACGTGGAAAGTGCCTGAGAGAGAGAGATTTTGCACTGCTCATTATCGCATGGGATAAAATTTTCTATCGACTGCTTCCAAAGATCACAATAAAAATAAATGATGGCTTAAAAAAATTAAAAAAATACAGTTGCTTTTTTAAAGAGATAGCCTGGAGAAGGATCATTTTTTATTGTCAAATTTTTTAAAAATAATTTTTAATATTTTAAAAAAATTCGAAAAAATTAAAAGCAAAAATTAGTTTTCTTTTTTTAAATAAAAATTTTTTTTTTCAATTTTTATAATGATAATTCAAAATAATAGTTCCATTTGATTTTAATAATACAAATTAATTGAAACTAAATAATTTGTATTACAAATTAATTAAAACTAAATAATTTGTATTATAATAATATTAATTATAAATTTATTTATTTTTTATAAAAATTATAGCCCCTCCGATTCCTTCCTATGACCAGGGATACAGGAACATGTTCAAGCACGATGTCTTTTTATTTTAAGAGATTTCAACTCCTTGGCAATTAAAAAGTTATATTAAATTAGTTTCCTTATGACAGCTCTATTATTTCTAGTCGAAATTTAAGCTTGTTTTTAAGAAACTGCAAGCCAACGGAGAGGAAGCTATAGAATCGATTGGTAACCTCTTTGCAAACTTTTCAATTGCCCCCTGAGGCCGCTCTTAGTCTCTGCCGCTCTGCGTGACTCCAATGTATGGCCGTTATGCTGCCTTCCCCGCCCCACCGCCACCACCACCACCAGCAACATCAGCTGTGGCGCTGCAGCAACGTGATGTCAAAACAAATGAAAGTCATAAGAAACGGCAGTCAGGCAGGCTGCCACTGCCAATGCTGCTGCTTGGCTTAGCCTTTGGGGCTTTCTTCGGCAAACAAACAAAACTGAAGAAACAAAAAATATCTATATTCGCACCCATGCGCCCAGCGCCACAGGCAGTGTACAGCATAAAAAATTATTTGCAACAATTGCCGTCATCTTCCGCTGAAACGTGACGCCCGCCAGGCAGCAAGTTGATTTTCCAATGAGGCTTCGATTTTTCCCGAAAGGCCGCCCAATGCGATGGGAATGTGGAGGTGGATGCAAATCGGCGGCAGATTATCCGAATAGGCATAAGCCTTGTGCGTCACAATTCCCATTTGGCCAATTCGGGAATGCATTTGGTAAAAGTTCTAGTAATTAGTTCGGCAAGTCGTAAAAAAAGCCTCAATTGCCGGCGCGGCGTGCTATTTTCAAACACACGAGCAATTTATCCGCTTCTCGGCTGTGCCACGCCCCTCCCTCCCGGCCAACGCCAAATACCAGATGCTTCTGGCCAAAGCCATTTCCATATTTTTGCCTTCCTGGTTTTTTTTTTTTGGGGTTATAGCCCGTCGGCGTCATAAAAAAAGAGCATAACGCAATTGTTGGTATTATAAATTTGACATGTTATTTTCGTCGCCTCGTCAGAATAAAATGCTCGTATAGATTGCCACATGCCCAGACGAGGGGCAGGCCCAGGCCGAGGCCGAGGCCGTGGCATGATGACGGGCTAGCATATGAAATGAATTTGATGTGTCTAGTGAGGCGTGAGTGAGTGAGTGAGTGAGTGAGTGAATGGGAGCTGGAGGCAGAAACGACTCTCTCGCTCCCTAGCCCTAGGGTCTTCTGTGTCGCAGCCGATCAGCTCTGGGGCAAGGCAAGTGCTAATCCCAGTGACAAAGACAAACTAAATCATCTGTGATGATGCCAGGCCATATGGCAGTTGCCAAATTATACGAAAAATCAGGACTCCCCCGCCGCATTACAGAGTATGGAGATGATGATTTTTGGACTGGCATAACTGTGGGGCACAAATGAAATTTACGATCCAGCATCATATTAAAAATTTAAATTAATTTCAAACTGGGTGTGTGTCGAGTGTGGCAGCGGGGCAGGGGCAAATACAGAGGGATACACAATTTTTTTGTATTTATTATGCGCACTGACAGAGAGCTCGCTTTTGCTGTGGCGCTTTAGCCGCATTCTAGGCCAATATTTTGGTTTAATAAAGTTGAAACAATATCTCACAGAAAGGAAAGGGCTCATGAGGAGGTAACCATAACAATCTCGGCTCGGAAAAAACTGTTTGTGAAGCGTTTATGTCAAATTTATGTTAATATATTTTACAATCGTTGCTCGGTTGCTCGGTTGTCGGTTGTCGGTTCTCGGGCCCATGTCAAGTTTGTTGTCTTTCGGGGGTCCTTCACATCAGCATAAATTTCCCTGCACATCCCGTCGACTCGCATTTCTTATCAACGAGAAGTTTGCCAGCTCCCTGCCTGCCGCCTGCCGCCTGCCTCCTGCTCTGTCAGAGTAAATAGAGTCATAAAAATTGCGAAAGTCGCAAAAAGCGTAAGAAAGATACACGAAGGGGAAAACTTGTCAATTCGTTACACGTCACATGGTCCCCCCCACCGACTGGGGGATGAGGGATGGGGCGGTGGGTGTTGGATGTTGGATGGTAATGCGATCCCAAGAACTCCACACAAGTCTCCGCAGTCTCCACCGCAGTCGAATACATACTCCTTGGCGCAAATCAAAGACTTAAAGTTGCTTACATGGAAATCCAAATGACAACGAAGATGTGGCAGACCCGGACCCTTCTTCTGGTCGGTTGTGAGTGTTTGTGTGTCTGCCACTCAAAGGGTTCATCTCTGGCTGTTCTGTTCGTTGCACACTTGGCCAATTCGTTTTCCTTGGGTGTTGCCTAAACGACGCAATAAGCTTAACACTTCCACCCTCTCACCCTTCAGCCTTCTTCTACTCAATGCTCGGATTTTCATTGCTTCAGCTTGAGTGGAGCCGAGTTGCCTTCTTTTGTTTGATATTTTCCCTGATTTGATAAGCCCCAGCCAGCCGGCAAGGCTTTACAATCCACGAAATGGCCAACAATGTGCCTTGTATCTGTGTGTATGGCCTGTACTCCAGTGTGTGCGTGTGTGCGTGTGTGTGTTACGTCATTGTTCATTGAAAAGTGCGCAGCATGCAAATTTGGCCAGCTCTGGCTCGTCTCTTCAGCTCTTTTGTGCGCAATTTTCCAATTTTCCTTGGCGCTGGGGCAATTATTTGCGGTCAATGTCCATATATCTTATATTGAATGCCAGATTGGAATGCCCTGGACCCCGGCAAAAAGCCGGTCAAGCAGAACGTAGCTCCTACATGCCACAGGACATGCGTGGGTACTGCATACGTGTGTGTATGTGGGTCCCTGTGGGTGTGTTTGTGTGTGCGAGTCCGCGGGGGTGCGTGGCCGTGTAATGTCCTGGGCCCCAAGGGTGTGCGTAACTTTTATTTTATGGCCGCCGATGATGAGAGCGCTGTGGGAGTCACAAAAACGATTGAATAAAGAAATCCAGGCGCCCACATGACCCCACCAAAAAAAAAAGAGAAGAAGAAAACTCCCCACCACACAGTTGCTCCCCGCCTAGTCAACCCCATAGAAATTTATAGGCACGCGTGCTACATTGACGTGGGTTTGAGGTTACACAGGGGGACAGAGAGAGAGAGAGAGAGAGCCGGATGGATCTTGGGGGGGCTGCATGCAAAAGTAGCAAAATTATACGCAACGAACGCTCCAGCTTTGCCACCAACAGCCAGCCACACAAATGCCAACTGCTGCCATCTTGGCATTGATGTGCCACACCATTGTTATTGTGGGTGGCGGCAAAACGACGAAATCTTTAACAACGATTTCCCTAAATACTTCCGAATTTCATACATATTACAATATCACGGCAACATCAGTGGCAGAGCAGGAGGAGCTTGGCGAAACCGCAGCAACAATGTTTTTGGGCGGGGGCGGGGGAAATCACGTGAAATTTTTACAACAGAACCCGACTTGTTTCTTTTGTTGTGGCTTGCTTGCTGCGCTGCGGCACAGTGGATGCGAGCTGGGTGAAAGTCCACAGAAAGTTGCACTCTTCGAGCAGAGATGCTGATTGAGAAAGTTTCCGAGTGAGGCCACTAATACTTTTTGTTTATTTCAAGCTGTTTATTCCGATGATAAATTCTCAGTGCGAGGAGGGACACTTATTCATATTGTTTATAGTTTTCCGTTTTAGCCAATGCCCGCTGTCTCTCCCATGGTCCTTTGGTATCAATGGGGAAGGCGGCGGAACATATTACGAATTTAATGCGCTCGCGTACTTGCAAAGATCTTGCCTTCCCTTCCATTTCCCTGCCATTTCCTTCCATCCTCCTCGAATGTTTTGTAAACTTTTGTGGCAAACGCGAAACGCATTACATGCCATGAAGTGGCGGGATTTTCGGCTCCCTGGGAGTGGGGCAAGGCAAGTGTGTGTGTGAGCCGGAAACGGGCTGCAAAACTTTCACCTCAGGCGGGGGAGAGCTCTGGTTTTTTTATTCTTTCTCCTCGTTGGTGCCCGGGCTGTTATGGCCTGAGAAAAATATGAAATTTCAAAAGAGGAAACTGCCAGGGAAAATGAAAAATTGTGGAAAATATGCGCACACGCAAGATGGTGGCGGAACGGACAGACAGACGGGGAACGGATGGAGCCCATCACGGTACCGGCGGGCGGCACATGCTGTACTTGAAGTCGTGCAGCGCTGCCCTTGCCGGTCGCTTGCTTTATCTCTTTATCTCTTTCGCACTCGGCGACATACAGCCGCCAAAGGTCGCGTCGAGATCAAAATGATTTTCAATTTAACGCGTTTACGTGCGGCCATTTGTCTGTTTTACGCTCTTTTTCGACGGAGCCGGAGCCGGTGCCGGAGCCGGTGCTTTAAATGGAAACTACGCCGGTCGCATGCTGAGGAGCAATCCAATCCAATCCAATGGACGGACAGACATTCTGGCAATTAATTTACAATTACACCCGGGATTGGTGGCAACTAAATTGGAAAAAAAGAAACAAAATACGAAATACAAAAAAGGTTGCGCCTGAAAGTATGCTGCGAAACGTGTGTTGCCTCCGATTGTGTGGCGTGTGGCGTGTGGAATGGAAAATTCATTTGCTGCATCATTTGTGCGTTAAATTGAAAGGCGTTTGTGCAAATATTTTCAATATTTACGCATAATTGAAGAGAAAGTCCCCACACCCATCACACACACACATTTATAGCCTTTGTAGCAGTGAGTGGTGGAGTGGGGGGGAGGAGGGTGCTTCAGGCTGGGGGATACTTTGAAAATTAAATTCAGCCCGAGGCGCTCGCTCGCACAAATATTGATACATTCTAATGGATTTCCTTACAGACACAAACACATACACAACACCCATGCACACCCACACACACACACATACTGATTGGGATTTTGGGCTGCCGAAAAGGCAACAGCAGCAGCAGGAGCAGAATGAGTTTGTTTCTTTTTTCATCGTAGTTAGGCAGCTGCGCCAACAATCGTCCTTGCGAGGAGTCTCACAAAACATTCACCCAATTCACTTGGCCCCAGCCGTCCGTCCGTCCGTCCGCATCTGTATCTGTATCTTTGTAGCTGTAACTGTATCTTTTATTTATGTTATTTATCGTATCTGCTGCTGGTTCGGTGCTCCGGGCTGCTGCCTTTAAAAGCCTTTAAACCTCTACGAATGGCCTTTTCTTTCTTTCTTTTGAGGGGGTGGGTGGGCGAATGTTGGGCCGTGTAAGCCCCCAATGTGTCCCGTAATTATCGCAAAAGGCAAATGTTAAGCACTCGGCTTTAATTCAAATCGCTTTAATTGCTCTACAAATGGCCATCAGGGCGGAAGCCGCAGACGCAGCTGAAGCTGAAGCCGAGGGGAATTCCACCCCCCCCCCATTCCGCATAAGAAACAATGTGCAACAAAAGTTGGAAACAAAGCGCCAACTGACGCATCTCCTGGGTTCCTTTTACTCTGCAACACACACCTGTGCTCCAGCACACTCACACACACACACACACGCACACCGGCACACACACAGCCATATGCAGATGAGCTCTCGGGCATATAGTCCTGAAGAAAATGCGCAGAGAGAAAAAGTTGGGAAATCGGGAAGTGGGAAGTGCATTTGTGGTTAGCTTTGGCTCGGGCTCCTTCTGCTCCTTCTGCTCCTTTAGCTCCTTGTTCAACTTGTCCCTGCTGTGTCTCATCCCTTTGTCTTTTGCCATTTGGGTGGAACCAACAACTTGTGCATATGCCACGCCACATCCTGTCCGTATAAGTGTGCGTTAAGCGGTTACATTGTTGTACTTCATCTTCATCTTCGTCTTCTCCTCTCTTCACTTTTCGCTGGTGTTGTGTGGTTTTTGTGCTCATTGTTACAGCTACTGCTCGTGATGCTTTTCTTGCTCGGTTTTAATAACTGTAAGTACGCTACTTCCTGTGACAACAGACCGGCAACAAGAAAATGTAATTGTTGCACATGCCTGGGCATTTTGCAAGGATATTACACCAATCTTCGCCCACAGACAGGCTCTCGAACAGCGGGAGCGAACAGTGTAACTTCACGGATAACCAAACAGATAATGGTCACATTCATGGCATTCATAGATTTCCTCCTGCTTACACCATAAGAAACGCAACTTTAATCTTATGAAGCCGAGACCCAACTGAAGTCGATTGAATATTCCAGCCAGCGAATCGAGTGTCTCTATTGGCTCGAGCCACATGTGTAAATGGTTTTCCCTTATTTTCCCCCACTCTGCAGAGCTGGAGTGCCGCCTTTTATGACTTTCAGCATTTGCCCACTAGAGGTTTTTGTTAGGGGCTTCGGTCTGAATGCAATGCCAATGCTTAGGCCCCCCAGCCACAGAGCTTTTGGTAATTTTCCACCATCCACTCCACGACGGTGCAGAGTGCAGTGTGGGTGGGTCGGTGTGTGTGTGTGTGTGTGCACTTTGGACTCATCGAAGCTTGGGTCCTTCGGGTGGTTTCGGTTCGTAGTTGTCTCTCTGGAAATTTGCCTAGAAGCGCATACATTATCAACGAAAAAAGGAAGGAAAAAAAAGAATTAATTGTCTTTTGCTATGCACACACACACACACAATGATAAGAGCCAAAGAGCAAAGCACACACACACACACATACAGGGGAGTACATTTAAGTATAAAGCACACACACACACACTTACGAGAAGCACTCCTCGCACTCGCACAGGCACTCGAAGCACGTAGAGAAGTCGCTGGCTGTCGTTGACTTTATTTTCGACTCTCGCACTGGCACTCGCACTGGCACTGGCACTCTCCTCTCCCAACAAAAGCTCCATCCACGGTTCCAACCCATCCCGGAATCATCGGTTTTAAAGATTTTCTATGCAGGCATTGTCTAAGCGTGGTCTGGGGTATGGGGGGGAGGCTGCTCCAACTTGCACTTAACACAATTTCGTGGCACACAAAAGACTTTCGCTGCGGCACACGGCCCAAGCCACCCAACCAACCAACCACCAGAGCACACCGCACCGCCCCCAATATAACCCACGCCTCCCCTCCCCCCTCTCTTGCTGGTTTTTTTGGATAAACTTTTTTTTTACGCGCCGCTTTTGTTGCCTCTTCAAAGCGTGTGGAACGAGCGCGTGCAACGCCTGGGGCGGTGCCACGTGGCATAAATTAATCTTCCCACTAAATTTGCCATCTTCTTTCTCCCCAATCGCGCTCTCCCTCCCACTCTTGCCCACTCTTGCTCGCCCACTCGTCTCTCTGCCCCTCAAATCGACCGCAATCCACTGCAGTTGTTTGGACCTGGTGGCACGAAGCTGGACGAGGACTACGACGATCCACCAGTGACACTGTTGCGCGGTCCGCCCGGACCGCCTGGCCTCGCTGGAAAGGACGGCCGCGACGGACGCGATGGCAGCAAGGGGGATGCCGGCGAGCCTGGAGAGCCTGGTTCGCTGGGTCCACGCGGCCTGGACGGCCTGCCCGGAGAGCCGGGCATCGAGGGACCGCCAGGACTGCCTGGCTATCAGGGACCGCCGGGGGAGAAGGGCGACCGTGGAGACATTGGGCCGCCTGGACTGATGGGACCCCCGGGTCTGCCTGGCCCGCCGGGCTATCCCGGCGTCAAGGGAGACAAAGGTGATCGCGGCGACTCGGTGAGTACTTTACATTTTTGCTTTGTCCATGAATCTGCAACTCGAGAACACCCTCTCTCGACTTTCAGTACCGTAAGATGCGTCGTCGCCAGGATGACGGCATGTCGGATGCCCCACACATGCCCACAATCGAATACGTAAGTAAACACCCCCAAAATGATTGAGTGCTAAGTGATTCGTTTTGATTTCTTTCCCCAGTTATATGGTCCTCCTGGACCACCCGGCCCCATGGGCCCGCCAGGACACACCGGCGCCCAAGGCGACCGCGGCTTGGATGGACGCAAAGGGGATTCGGTAAGAGTGTGCTTTGTCCTTCTTCAACCCCTGCTTCAACGCTTTCTCTGTTCTAATTTTCAGGGCGAAAAGGGCCACAAGGGCGATCAGGGACCCATGGGGCTGCCGGTAAGTAAACGAATTTCGATCAAATATCTATATTTTGAGTCAGTATTTATGATTTAATTGGGTTTAATTTCAGGGCCCGATGGGTATGAGAGGAGAATCGGGACCCTCCGGTCCGGCGGGCAAGGCTGGCATACCGGTAAATTTTTTGAATTGAATTGAAGTTTGTTTTGGCAAAAGCCAAGCGTTTGGAAAAACTCTCATTGTTTGGCTTTTAATTTGTGGAAATTGGAATTAATCTGTTGCTTAGCTAACACTAATATTTGTGGCTTTTTGCGGCTCTCGTGACTAAACATTTGTCTAACCTTTTTGTGTGTTCTCTTGTCTCTTTCTTTCTACTTGGAACAGGTGTGGGGCGACTACTAATACTAGTTAAAAGTGCAGGCAGAGTCTATTAAACAATAACCAACATAAATGGAATGCGACATAAGAGACAAACAAACATTCCAACACACACACACACACACGAACACAGCGCCATACAAAAACACACACACACACACAAAAGAAAGTCTTAACGAAACACTCAATACATATGAAGAAATGAAACCAAATTTTAATCAAAGCAAAACAAATGTTCAAAAGTTAAAAAGCCGCCGCGCAAAATGCTTGTCGTCTATATATGTATATGTATATGTATATCAGGCGTATACATACATATATGTATACCAAACGTGTATTGTATCAGTGTATATGTATGTATATGTATATGTATATGTATATCAAGTTGTAAAAACACGCACCCATGTACAGAGAATTGAATCTGAAATAGCAGCATGTCAGTAGCAACTAGGCAAATACATCCGCATGAAAGAAAACATTAACACTCATATTCATATCATTTAAGAAACGCCCCAAGAGTCAAATAAGTATTTATGTATACAAGCAAATGAAACAGAAACTGAAACAGAAACAGAGGCATATTTACACATACTCAAACCAACATCCATCAATTGGATTCAACTAACAAACTTTCAACCTGCCCCACACACACGCACACACACACACACAGACAGACAGCAAACCAACTAACAAATATGCAATGCAAATATTTTAATTGCATTTCATTCGCCACTGCTCTGTGAGAAGCGAGATTACAGCAGGAGCAGCAGGAGCGGGTAGAGCCACTAAAGCGGGAAAGCCGAGGGCCTCTCGAAAATGCATAAATCATACGCACCGTTGTACGTGAAAACAGCCAGCACACACACACACACCAAAACGATGGCGGTGCTTCAAGTGCTTCCACGGGGTGCGAATGACTAATTGATAGATTATACTTCAGCCCGATCTCAATCGTTTGGCAATCGTTGCAGTAAGTGACTTAATTAGTTACCTAATTAGATTGTGTGGAGGAAGCCTCTTCTGCCACTGCCACTGCCACAGCCACTGCCTCGCTGCTCCTGCTGCACATATATCTGCATTGTCTTAGGTGCCGTCCATTGGCTTTGTCTGAATATTCGAATGCGAACAGTTTTCATTCATACAAAGCATATTTGCCAAAGCTTCAATGTGAAGTATTCAATAGAAGTCGAGAGCAGAAAGCAGCAATAACCATATATACAAGCAGATAAACATCAATATATAAAATATATACAATGTGTACGGATTAAGGATAAATGTGCATTCAGAAAAGGAGAAATTGTAAGATATTTTGATCAAGTTTTTGCTCTCAATGTTTCACGTTTTGTCTACAAGCATGGATATTGTTTAGTTATTTACACAATATAAACTTAAATATAAAGAGATCTATATACATACAATCTATTGTAAAAGAAACTCAATGTACTCGTGTATTTCCCCAAAACAAAAACAAAAACAAAAACCAAGAGCTATCCAATCCAATTGTGCATATTTTTCAGTGTTAACTCTTGAAATACTCTTAGAAGCGACAGCAGCAACTAGTTAGATTAAAGTTCAAGTTGGAGCCTGGGCTGTTCGCACAAGAAGTGCGAAATATCAAACAATAAATACATAATCCCACTATGTATCCTATTGGTTTCATCGAACATCTCAAAATAAAGTAACGCAAACACAATTCTATATGTATGTATATGAAAACGCAAAATGATGCCATCAATTTACATTTATCTGTATTTGTATCTGTATCTGTAGCATTTTCAATTTTCAATGTTCAAACTATGCAAAATGCGAAAAGGACAAATAAAAATCAACCCCGAAAATGAAGCATAATCAATGCAAATGAAACAATACAATGCAAATGATGATAAAATGTATGTATGTACATTCTGCCGACCCCGAAAATACGTACACAGCGTACAGTAATTCAATGGAAAATTAATGAATATGCAAATGAGAAATGCGAAATGCGAATTGTTGGCAGCTTTACACACAAAAAAAAACATACAGATTCGAACTGCAAACGGCATCGAAAATCACAATGAATATGTCAATTTGTTTTCAATTAGATGTGTCGCTCGTTTTCGTCGTAATAATCTCCGAGTGGAGGAGAGCAGGACAAACACACACATAAACCAATTTGCATGTCAATTTTCATTTAGTCCAGAGAAAAGTCAAGGAACGGACTCCACGTGTACATACAGCTGATGTTAACACTTAAGCCTAAGACATAACGAATTCTTTAACTAATTTCCTAGCTGTTTCAGCCTCTCAAACATCATCTTCTTACTCTCCCTCTATCTACCAATACTCACGCTGAATACTCTAGATCGATCCTTTCTCTTCCTCATCTAACTGTAGACTATAGACTATAGAATCCAAGCTATCTCACTCTCTATCGATCCATAGGCTAGAATAATGAATTGTGTGTGTTTCGCGACTAAATTATAATACTTACCCAACAATTGTATAATTAAAGAGAAATTTAATAAGCCGCTAACAATAATTGTAAGTGTAAATTTGTTAATTACATACTAAACGATAAACGATAAACGGGAATCGAGAAACAAGAAACGAGAAAAGTTTGCAAAAAGCATATACACTATATGAATATAAATTGATGTGTATTTATGTCTATATACTTATGTACATGCATACACTAAATATACATATACTAAATGTCGATGTGCGAATGCATTATGCCATCACAAACACAAAAAAAAACACAAAACAACACACACGAAATGCAATATTTTGATCCGTGCTGCATTCCAAATGTATGATTCGATTCGAGCAAATAAATCCCATAGCATCGCTAATTATTTGCCAGGGAGCATGGCATGGACGGTGTGCAAATATCGGGAATGGCGACGATCCAAGGCGACGGGACACAGTTGTAAAATGGCTAAATGAAACTAACATAATTTTCGTTTTAATAATGCATTTTTCAATAAAGTGATGGTTTTTTACTAAACAACAAAAGCTAATTGCATAACGCCTTTACAAATTACACAACAATCGAACTCATTTGTCCCTCGGGACGAGGCAGCATTACCCCCACTTCGCACTGCTTTACTAATCTCTCTCTCTCTCACTCTCTCTCTATCGCTGCACAGGGTCCACCGGGCTTGGATGGCATGAAGGTATTTTCCATTAAGCCGCACTGAAATGCTGTTTATTTCTGGGTATAACCGATCTCCTTTGTTGTTGTATTCGCAGGGAGCCCAGGGCGAGACGGGACACAAGGGAGAGCGCGGCGATCCGGGACTGCCGGTAAGCACGCAGCATCGCCTGCCCTGCCTTTAACATTATCCTGTTTGTTCCACGGCACGGACAGTGGAACAGTATATCTTTGTATATCCATTCTACTTTATGTGGTTGCTAATTTCAATAATTTGTGTCTTCTTTTTCTCCTTTTTATTGTTTTTATCTCTGTTTGCATGCAAATCTCTTTCTGTTGGCGTAAATACACTGTCCTCCATCTTTGCAACACTCTTTGACCCCCAAAACTCACACCCCCACTCTCTACCAACACACACAACCCACACACGAACACTTAAACACACACTTGTGTACAATGAAACCCAAAAAGGGCACCGACGGCATACCCGGCCAGGAAGGTCCGCGCGGGGAGCAGGGCTCACGTGGCGATGCTGGCCCGCCCGGTAAGCGGGGACGCAAAGGAGATCGCGGCGACAAGGGCGAACAGGGCGTGCCTGGACTGGACGCACCATGCCCCCTGGGCGCCGACGGGCTGCCGTTGCCCGGCTGTGGCTGGCGGCCGCCAAAGGTTAGCATGCGATTCGTTTTACACAAAAACCAAACCAAACCAAACCCAAAGCTCCCTCCCTCCCTCAATTGGCTAACAAAAAAAGTTGATAATTGAAATTTCGCATGAACCAACCAGCTCCCTCCTAGCTCCCAAGCTCCCAAGCCCCCTAGCTCCTAGCCCTATTTATTGTACTCGTATGTATCTTGTTGTCTAACTTGGTTTAACTAACTTTTGCTTTTGCACACACAAACACACATACACACACCCACTAATACACCACTTGCGAACGCAAACGAACACCCACTATCCGACACTCCACTACTACCCGCCACCCATCGACACCCAAAACGTGGACCGGATGCGGATGGAATGCGGAATCCGGAATGGGTATGGGTCGCCGTCGCCGTCGCCGTCGTCGCCCTATAGGAGCCAATCATCTCAACGCCCGTGCACAAGGATTATTTGCCCGATGTAACGCAGCCGGAAAGCAACGCCAGCGATTACGAGCAGGAGGAGGAGGAGGACGAGGAGCAGGCGGAGGCGGAGGATAATGAAAACGAATATGATGAATATCAGGATAATTTGCATAACAATGAGTGAAAAGGAAACAGAACAGGCAGCGGCAACGCAACCGACGACCCAGCAAATGGCAAACACAAACATACCAAAGCAAACAGACACAGACCCGCTCTCTGAGACACACACACCACACAAAATCCACTTACACTTCCACTTGAAACACACCCACACACACACACACACTGGCACTCACTTTCACGCACACTGACACAGCCACAGGCAGAGGCAGAGGCACACGCACAGACAGAAGGCAATGGCAATGGCTACTAGTTAAGCATTTCCGATTTCCGCTGCGAGCGAGCTTCTGGCTCTGTTTCGCTCTGTTGACATTTGCAATTAGCGTTAACAAATGCCAAGTGGCTGGCTGGCTGCTGCTTCTAACGGTTCGCCATTACCATACACTCTGCCGCTCACCTCGCTCTATCCATCAATTACCCTTTCGCTTGAACACAGATACACAAACACTATCGTAGTTACACACTGGCTTAGCTCTTGGTGATGGGTCCTGGTCCTGCGTGGCGCTCATTTGTCTTTTTTGATTCCTAATCCAAAAACTGTGCCCATTTTTGGTTAACCATCTGTTTTGCCCTCCCTCCCCACCCAATCCAGCAGGAGAACTGGCAGGCCTGGCTCAAGGACGAGCTTAACGCGCTACAGCAGACGCACACAAAAAACTAATCGACAGCCCCAGCAGCCACCATGCGACGGTTGCATCGAAGGCGTGGTCCTGCTACCGCAATATCCATACGAAGAATCTAAGCGCTTTGGTCTTAATTTTAGTAATTTGTTATTGTTAAATGTAGGAATCGAACAAAGCTCTATCCATACACATACACACACTCTGTACTGTATAACTACACCTATTACTACATATATCTGTATCTGCTTCCTGCATCTGTGCCAAATTGCTCCAAAGTTGCAACCAGTTCGGCTCCAGCTCCATGACGATGACGATGACGAGGGCGTCGCTCTAGGCATTCATTGAACAAAAGCAACATTTAATTCTAGATTTAATGTACCTCTAAATATGCGAAATGTATCTACTACATCTACGAGTATTTCTACGGCAATAAGCAAACCTGGAACCCAGCTATTTTTTACAAAAACTATTTAAAAACAAAACTTCAATAAAAATCAAGCAAAAGTAAAATGCATTTAAGCCTCTCGCAATGAAAATTCCACGCTTTCCCCCCATCGACTTTGAGTGCCGCAGTCGCAGGGATATGGGGCTGTGATCCTGTTGAGTAATTACTTTTGAAACTTGTTCATTTTTATTACTCTTTCAGTAGCTTGAGGTGCTTAACGTATTTATGAACGCTTTCCTTCACATATGGCTTCAATGCGATGCAGGTGGGTATGTTCTCCGGCTGCTCAATCCAAAGTTTGTGTTTTATTTCATTCTCCTTCAACTTTTCGCCGAGTTTCACCAACGCCGCCTCGTCCTTGGCCTGTTGTGAACGGAATGGAATACTTTGATTACTGTCTGTCTATCTGCCTGTCAGGCTGAGTACCGATGTAAACAATACGAACCTGCAGCACAACCTTGTGCATGTTGTCGAGATCTTTCAGATACGCCACCGTTTCAGCGTCTTCTGCATTCAAGTGCATCACGGCTGCCGTGGCATGACAGCATTGTGCAATAATGGCCCCCAGGGGCCAATTGAGGGCCGAACGCAGGTCACTGCGAACCACAACGTATTGAACGATATTACTCATAGTTTGTGGATATTTTTAATATATGAATATTTGGTAAACAAAATAAAACGCGGGCGGTTATCAGCTGTTTAGCTGGTGTTGCCATATCGTTTGATGTTTTTTGCTCTAAATTTCCCCACAAAAATCGTTAATCACATCTAAAACAAAATCGAATCCACTTGAATATTTGAAAAAATACTTAACTCTGATTTATAATTAGTGTTGGTATTGAAACAGTATTGGATTTCTCCCAATCAAATGGAGAGTGGACCAATTTATGCATCCAAGTGCAAGCGCTGCCAGACACAGAGAAACAAACAAAAAGTGCTACCCATCATTTAATTTCGAATTTGAGTGCCAAGCTAATGTAAAAATCAATCGTACAGTTCATGTAACTACCAACAGATGGCGCCGACTAGTCGCGTAAAATTCACCATGGATCTCTTTGTTTTTAGGTTTAAGCATTCATTTAGATAGTAGATACAAATGTTATACTAAGCTATGTCTTAATTAATAAAGCTTTTAAAAAATTATCCTTGCAATCCAAATTGCGCCAAATTGAAAATGGTTGCTGTTCCTGTAACCGGAATAACATCCTTGATCAGATGAAGTCCCTATCAAGGACAAGGATCAAGGATATTTTCTATAGACATATACATTTTGTTTTCCTTGGCTTGGCTGTGTCTCTCTGCAACAACGTACTAGAAAGTTGTGGCATGGCAGGAATTTGCCTGGACGGCAGCCACTGGCTGTCCTGCTGCGGGCCATAGCCATGATGCCGCTGCTGTGTCGCTGAATCGACAATGTGGCGACTCGTCCACTGTAGAAAGGACCAGTGAACGACACCGGAATTGTGGGTTCACGACCCCGGGAAAGAATATCAGCAACCCGCCCATTCATACGCCGCCGAATCACACACTGGGCTTCAACTTCGAGACGCGTAAGTAAATCAGTATATACATATTTGTGGTTACATTTTAAAGTATATCTTCCTTCACACAGCGTACCCCTTACACAAGATCAACCTGGTTCAAAAATAGCAGAGAAAACTAAATATTTTTGATTGGGGAAAATGTCCTTTATCCTTGATCCATCAAATCAGGGGCATATCTCGGCTATTTATGGGCCGATCGGAGAGCGGCATGCCTTTTCGTGATCGGGCGAGTCCTGCCAATCGACTTCCACCGGAAAAAAGAACATCCATATTTTCACGATTTTCGCAAAAAATCATGATGTAACCATCATTAAAATTGCCAAAAATCGGCCCCATTTTCGAAGTCGAGATTTTGATGCCGTTTGACTCTCTGGATCCCCATGGTCCTGGGAGAGTGGGTCCTGCACCGATCTGGCCCTAATAGTCTGAGATATAGCCTACCGAAGATTTGGATTTGCGTATCCTTAAAATACTGGTTTCTTCTGTATGCTATATCTCTGCTATACGGCAGCCGATCTCGGCGTGGCATGGCTCTTCGTGACCGGGCGAGTCCTGCCAATCGACTGCCATCGGAAAAAGGGACATCCATATTTTCACGATTTTCGCAAAAAATCATGATGGTTACATCATTAAAATTGCCAAAAATCGGCCCCATTTTCGAAGTCGAGATTTTGATGCCGTTTGACTCTCTGGATCCCCACGATCCTGGGAGAGTGGGTCCTACACCGATCTGGCCCTAATAGTCTGAGATATAGCCTACCGAAGATTTGGATTTGCGTATCTTTAAAATACTGGTTTCTTCTGTATGCTATATCTCTGCTATACGGCAGCCGATCGGAGAGCGGCATGTCTTTTCGTGATCGGGAGAAGATTTGAATTTGCGATCTGTAAAATACTGTTACTTTATTTAACTCTTCCTTCCATTTTAGCAGGTCGCACCCTCCGGTGGCTAGGAATACCTTTTGCGTGCCCGTGGTCACCGGTTTGCCTACTATTGGTTGCCAGGGGTATCGCCCTTTTGGTCTTCCGGTAATCTGGTGGATCCTGCGCACGGGGCCACGATGCCCGATGACGACTTTGGGTCCGGCCACTGCCGTGGCGCTCTTCCTTGCTTTCCACGCTGTTTGGTGGCAGCATTGGCTGTTCCGCTGTGGGCCACAGCCATGCTACCGGCTGTGGAGTGGAGTTCCGTCCGCTGAATCGTTGGTTCCCACCAACGGGAAATAATGTCAGCCACCCCTTCATACGCCGGCGACTCAAACGCTGGGCTTCAGCTTCGAGATGCGTAAGTGAATCATTATATAATTGTGGATGTATGTATCTTAAAATATATCTTCCCTTACAGCGAACCTATGAACCCTACGCTTTGCCACAAAACGAGTCGCATCCGATTTCGCCCCGCCAGACGGACTCCTATCCAATCATTATCGACACTCCAGACAGACCGAGTCCTAACCCAGCCAGACAGAATAATATCGCAGCAGGACAGAAGCGTACCCCTGCAAGATCCTAACCTAACAAGCCATCGACAACAAGGACTTTGACTATGTCAATCAAGGGACGGGCTACTCGGGATACTAGACTCCAGATAGATATCGTTGCTGTTAGGTTTAAGGATATACGCGTATATGTATATATTTATATTGTAGATACAAATTTGATCCACTTGCTTATTTAGTTATTCTAAGCTAAGTTTTGATGAATAAAACTATTGAAAAATCATCCTTGCTTTATTATTTATGGGGGAAACTATTCCGATTGCAGGCGTGGCATGTCTAGATCTTTTCACAAATGGCGGAGAAAACTAAAAATTGTTGATTGGGAAAAATGTCCTTGATCCTTGATAAGGACTCCATCAAATCAAGCACATTTTTTCGATCACAGGAAGCCATCGCACGCCCAGATCGGCCCTCAAATAACCCACAAAACTTAATAGGTATGGTTGGGCTTGTTGTAGTCCTTACTGAAGAATCAAGGACATTTTTCTGATAACGGAAGGCCCTGATCGGGCCACAAATAAGGTAGAAAACAAGATATATATGTCTGGAGAAAATATCCCTGATCCTTGGTCCTTCATAAGGACTCCAACAAATCAAGAATATAATACCGATCACAGGAAGCCCTCGCACGTCCCGATCGGGCCACAAATAACGGAGAAAACAATAAAAGTTGTTGTTGTCAATTGTTGTAAAATAAATTGTTGTACAACAACAACTTGCCGACCAAACGGCCAAATACGAGAATTTTAGATCTGGAATACCAGGCGAACAGGAATCAGCAGCAAGCAACTTTAGCTATTTCAAAAAATTTCATTGTATGTTTTTGGGGTTTGAAAAAATTGCACTGAATACTTTTGGGGTTTAAAAAGCGGGGGAAAATAAATAAATAAGATTTTTTTTTTATTTTTTAAAAAAATCGAGCGACCTTCTGCTGATTTCTGTTCGCCTGGTATCCCAGATCTGAAAATCGAAAAATCTCGGTTTCGAGCTCGACCAAATTGGCAGTCGTTGTTGTTGTAATAACTGGATGTAGTTGTTGTAATTTGTTGTTTAAGGCATAAATTCATCATTTGTTACCCAATCGAGACGTGCGATGGCTTCTTATGTTCGGAATAGCATCCTTGACCTGATGAAGTCCTTATCAAGGACTAAGGATACTTTCTCCAGACATATAAATCTTGTTTTCTCTCTTATTTCTCAGGGCATTACAGATCCGCACCCCCGTGATTCTTCAGTAAGGACTACAACAAGCCCAACCATACATATTTAGTTTTTTCGGCTATTTGTGGGCTTCCTGTGATCGGAAAAATGTTCGTGATTTGATGGAGTCCTTATCAAGGATCAAGGACTTTTCCCCGCTCAGAAATATTTTGTTAGCTCCGCTATTTGTGAACCGATCAGAGCGTGCCACGCCCTTTTTTATCAGCATACTTTCCCCCATAAAGGATACAGCAAGGATGATTTTTCAATAGTTTTATTCATCAAAACTTAGCTTAGAATAACTAAATAAACAAGTGGATCAAATTTGTATCTACAATATAAATATATACATATACGCGTATATCCTTAAACCTAACAGCAACGATATCTATCGGGAGTCTAGTATCCCGAGTAGTCCCCCCTTTGGTTGACATAGTCAAAGTCCTTGTTGTCGATGGCCAGGTGGAAGGATGACGATGGCTTGTTAGGTTAGGATCTTGCAGGGGTACGCTTCTGTCCTGCTGCGATATTATTCTGTCTGGCTGGGTTAGGACTCGGTCTGTCTGGAGTGTCGATAATGATTGGATAGGAGTCCGTCTGGCGGGGCGAAATCGGATGCGACTCGTTTTGTGGCAAAGCGTAGGGTTCATAGGTTCGCTGTAAGGGAAGATATATTTTAAGATACATACATCCACAATTATATAATGATTCACTTACGCATCTCGAAGCTGAAGCCCAGCGTTTGAGTCGCCGGCGTATGAAGGGGTGGCTGACATTATTTCCCGTTGGTGGGAACCAACGATTCAGCGGACGGAACTCCACTCCACAGCCGGTAGCATGGCTGTGGCCCACAGCGGAACAGCCAATGCTGCCACCAAACAGCGTGGAAAGCAAGGAAGAGCGCCACGGCAGTGGCCGGACCCAAAGTCGTCATCGGGCATCGTGGCCCCGTGCGCAGGATCCACCAGATTACCGGAAGACCAAAAGGGCGATACCCCTGGCAACCAATAGTAGGCAAACCGGTGACCACGGGCACGCAAAAGGTATTCCTAGCCACCGGAGGGTGCGACCTGCTAAAATGGAAGGAAGAGTTAAATAAAGTAACAGTATTTTACAGATCGCAAATTCAAATCTTCTCCCGATCACGAAAAGACATGCCGCTCTCCGATCGGCTGCCGTATAGCAGAGATATAGCATACAGAAGAAACCAGTATTTTAAAGATACGCAAATCCAAATCTTCGGTAGGCTATATCTCAGACTATTAGGGCCAGATCGGTGCAGGACCCGCTCTCCCAGAACCATGGGGATCAAACGGCATCAAAATCTCGACTTCGAAAATGGGGCCGATTTTTGGCAATTTTAATGATGTAACCATCATGATTTTTTGCGAAAATCGTGAAAATATGGATGTCCCTTTTTCAGATGGCAGTCGATTGGCAGGACTCGCCCGGTCACGAAGAGCCATGCCACGCCGAGATCGGCTGCCGTATAGCAGAGATATAGCATACAGAAGAAACCAGTATTTTAAAGATACGCAAATCCAAATCTTCGGTAGGCTATATCTCAGACTATTAGGGCCAGATCGGTGCAGAACCCGCTCTCCCAGGACCATGGGGATCCAGAGAGTCAAACGGCATCAAAATCTCGACTTCGAAAATGGGGCCGATTTTTGGCAATTTTAATGATGTAACCATCATGATTTTTTGCGAAAATCGTGAAAATATGGATGTCCCTTTTTCAGATGGCAGTCGATTGGCAGGACTCGCCCGGTCACGAAGAGCCATGCCACGCCGAGATCGGCTGCCGTATAGCAGAGATATAGCATACAGAAGAAACCAGTATTTTAAAGATACGCAAATCCAAATCTTCGGTAGGCTATATCTCAGACTATTAGGGCCAGATCGGTGCAGAACCCGCTCTCCCAGGACCATGGGGATCCAGAGAGTCAAACGGCATCAAAATCTCGACTTCGAAAATGGGGCCGATTTTTGGCAATTTTAATGATGTAACCATCATGATTTTTTGCGAAAATCGTGAAAATATGGATGTCCCTTTTTCAGATGGCAGTCGATTGGCAGGACTCGCCCGGTCACGAAGAGCCATGCCACGCCGAGATCGGCTGCCGTATAGCAGAGATATAGCATACAGAAGAAACCAGTATTTTAAAGATACGCAAATCCAAATCTTCGGTAGGCTATATCTCAGACTATTAGGGCCAGATCGGTGCAGAACCCGCTCTCCCAGGACCATGGGGATCCAGAGAGTCAAACGGCATCAAAATCTCGACTTCGAAAATGGGGCCGATTTTTGGCAATTTTAATGATGTAACCATCATGATTTTTTGCGAAAATCGTGAAAATATGGATGTCCCTTTTTCCGATGGCAGTCGATTAGCAGGACTCGCCCGATCACGAAAAGACACGCCGCTCTCCGATCGGCTGCCGTATAGCAGAGATATAGCATACAGAAGAAACCAGTATTTTAAAGATACGCAAATCCAAATCTTCGGTAGGCTATATCTCAGACTAATAGAGCCAGATCGGGACCTACTTTCCCAGGACCGTGGGGATCCAGAGAGTCAAACGGTCGACTTCGAAAATGGGGCCGATTTTTGGCAATTTTAATGATGTAACCATCATGATTTTTTGCGAAAATCGTGAAAATATGGATGTCCCTTTTTCCAATGGCAGTCGATTAGCAGGACTCGCCCGATCACGAAAAGACACGCCGCTCTCCGATCGGCTGCCGTATAGCAGAGATATAGCATACAGAAGAAACCAGTATTTTAAAGATACGCAAATCCAAATCTTCGGTAGGCTATATCTCAGACTAATAAGACCAGATCGGTGTAGGACCCACTCTCCCAGGATCGTGGGGATCCAGAGAGTCAAACGGCATCAAAATCTCGACTTCGAAAATGGGGCCGATTTTTGGCAATTTTAATGATGTAACCATCATGATTTTTTGCGAAAATCGTGAAAATATGGATGTCCCTTTTTCCGATGGCAGTCGATTGGCAGGACTCGCCCGATCACGAAAAGGCATGCCGCTCTCCGATCGGCCCATAAATAGCCGAGATATGCCCCTGATTTGATGGATCAAGGATAAAGGACATTTTCCCCAATCAAAAATATTTAGTTTTCTCTGCTCTTTTTGAACCAGGTTGCTCTTGTGTAAGGGGTACGCTGTGTGAAGGAATATATATTTTAAAATGTATCCACAAATATGTACTGATTTACTTACGCGTCTCGAAGTTGAAGCCCAGTGTGTGATTCGGCGGCGTATGAATGGGCGGGTTGCTGACATTCTTTTCCGGGGTCGTGAACCCACAATTCCGGTGACGTTCAGTGGTCCTTTCTACAGTGGACGAGTCGCCACATTGTCGATTCAGCGACACAGCAGCGGCATCATGGCTATGGCCCGCAGGAGGACAGCCACAACTTATAGTACGTTGGTGCAGAGAGACACAGCCATATTGTACATTTTTACAAAATTTGTATTTTGATGGAAATACAATTACAAACAAACACCAAAACCGTGCCTCGGGATGTGGTGCCACGACTACAAGCTTTTATTGATTGCACTTCGATCATGCATATTGATGTTTTGTATGATTATGTGGAAGATCCCTGATTTTGTAGGTGTTGGGTCCCCAAATACTGTGAGGATGTGCAGGGAATTCATATATGTATATTCATATATTCCAAGTCCGGGTTACTATAAGGCACTGGAACTACACTGCAAATTGGACCAACCCCGCTGTATCCGGTTTAATTGCTTTAAGGGATGAATTCCTGGAAGCCGACAGCCCTGTCATTATGGCCCATTAGCGATTGGAATGCTGATACCATGGCTAATCCACACAACTTAGCTGCCACTCACGCCGTGGGCGTCCGCAATTTAAGTGCTGCCTGCATGCAGTTGCATAAATTACGATGTTCGTTCCCCCCAGAGAGCGCCGCAAATCGGTTATAAGCACTGTCCATCCACAACAGAAAGGATTTTAATATTCATAAACTGGTTGCAAAACGTTTGCAGATCTTATCGGGTTGCGGCTGTTTGTCCCACCGATTCGAGTGCAACTCAATCCCCCAACGGCAACAAGTGAGAGATTCGACTGCATAGATACTTTGATTTTATTATTGTAATTTCTTGGAACACTTTACATTTACAATTAAATTTAAATTTAAATTTATGCGCCACAGATGCGGGGCGATAAACGACGACTACACACACATAAACAATTTGACAGTTTAATTGATTTAGATTTCGATTTAGAGTTAGATTTAGATTAATGCACCGCATGCAGATACAGGACCTGTGGATCCTTCCTCTCGTATTTATTTGATATCATTGCAAGGATATAGTCGTAGTTCGTAAAGGTACAGTTTTGCATATACGAGTGTACATGTATATGTATGTATTTATGATAGAGATACTCTTTGTAGGTAGGTACTCTACTCGTATTAGGAGCGTTATATAAAGTATAAACAGACAGATCGATTACTCTACTAAATTAGAACATTTATTTGGGCAAAACTTGAGATACTTGGAGAGAAAACAACACTCAACTATACGTAACAACGACGGAGCATCAAATCGAGAGAATCGAGATCCAAATTGAAGTCGAATTCGACATTGTCCTCCTTCTCGTTCGTGCTCTTCCATTATCAATTAACATTTATATTAGATATCTTTTTTTTCATTATAATTTCACTTGTTGCATTCATCAGTTTTGGCCATGACCAGTGCGGCTGGGTCTCTCGGTCAATGGGTCTTAAAGTGGCTTAAAAGCTGGTCTTGCCAAAGATGAAGTTGCCTGGCGCATTCACGTCCTCGGCGGCAAAGTACTCCTTCCACAAGGCGGCGAACTGCTCGCGAGTGACGTCGGTCTGGCCCTGGGCCATCTTGCTGAAGGCTTCCTCGCACTCGTTCTTCTCCAGGCCGTAGCTGGAGCAGACCAGCGTGAATTCGGTGACATCGATGCCCCCATCATGGGAGGCATCCTCCAGATCGAACATGAAGTTCATGTAGGCATTCTGCCAGTCCATCACGCTGCTCGGATCCTTGGCGTAGGCGTCCCACATGTTGCACCACTCGTCGACGCTGACCTGAGGAATAGAGATAGAGAGATAGAGACAGAGGCGGTAATGGAAGACAAGACGAACCGAGATTGGGTGGTCTAACAGCGTCAGATTTATGCATCCATCCCGCCCCGTGCTGAAAAGCCCATTAGCCGGCCCAGCCGCAGGCGGAGATGGTACATAAAACATCCCATCCCATTGCCTATTAAACGCGTTATGGCTAGTCGGGGGTGGGTGGTCGTTGGGGGACCACTAGGGGGGTGTAATTTATGCCCTCTGGACGGCATCTAGCGATGCGTTATTAACAGTTTCGTGGCTGCCAATACCAAGCACTGGCAATTACCGCAACATCGACCAGCGACCATCGACCATCGAACATCTTTGCCTTGACCAACTTGGCAGCTGTAAGCAGTCCTCCTAAAACTGCAGTTAGTACTCCGCCCATTAATTGCGGTATCTTCGACCAAGCCAAAGCAGCCGTTACGTTTTACCATGTTTTAATATGGCCATAAATAAGCACACTGACACTGTGTGAGGTTTGGGCCAATTGTAATGCCAAAACCCCGAAAAGAACTCTAAAAAGCAATCGAACTACATATATGTATAGCTGCATATTTTGATGTTTATGGCCTATAAGTGGCAGGGACTACATTGAAATGGCCTTGTGGGACATGCGTGGATACCTTGGAAGGTATACTTTTGCAGCTAATTTGAGGGCACATTCCCGTGCCTTCAGAACAATAAATCTTAAGCCGCATAGTCTGCGAGTCACAAAGGACATCAACAATAGTTGGCCATATTTGGGCAGCAAAACTCCGTCAAGTCCTTTGGCCACTGGCCAAAACTTTTGTGGCTTTGTTGCATTTGAAGTTATGCTGCCGCTACCTCATTCGGCCCCACCCCACACCGCACTGAGTCAAGTTTAGTACTAACACAAAATACCCCTAGCCCGTAACCAGTAACCCGCTTCAATAGAACTAAGCCGAGGTTTTGTTGGTCTGACATTTCAATTTCTGTTCGCTTTGTATCGCGTTGGTTGCGTTGTTGCGGGTTCCCTTGGTCGATGCTGGTATTGAGCGGGGGAGCACGCGGTTTGGGATGGGATGGCACAAATAGTGGCAGTGTTCGGGGCTGGATTATAATTTAATTTGCTGCACTCTCTGTACGATTATGCGATGGCATGGCCATTGTGCCGAAAGGGAAACTTGCGACAATTTCCCGAGCCCGTAGCCGATGACAAAGTTTTGTCTTGGTAATGAGAACGTGGCGGCCTGGAAAACTATGTGCAAGTGAATGGTCTTCTGCAGCCGGAATTGAGATTGCATTTCTCAAATAATTCACAATTCAATTTCCGCTGGTTGGCAGGGAATTTGTTTACCCAGCCACCCACTAGCCGGCACCCAGCACCCAAATTCCGCACCAATAAAAAGGGAAATTTATGAACAAGTTTTTCTTCTTTTTTTGGCTTCGTGTGTCTGCCTGGGCTCCAGACAATGCAAAAAGCGTCCGACATTGTAATGTGCTGGCCTATATATGTATGTATATGTATGAGTGAGTGAGTGTGTGTGTGTAGGTGCTGGACACTTGTCAACTGCTGTCACAATGGCATCGAGAGGCAGGCCATGGATTTCAGCACTTTCGGCACTGACAATGAAGCCAGAGCCATTCAACAAAAACCAGGCAGCTGCAGCACTTGACATGCAGTTGCCTTTCTTTTTTTTTTCGTTGCCATTGCCACACGAAATTTACAACTCAACAGAGGGAAGGGAAGGGAGCTCTCACCTGTCCATCGTTATCCTTGTCCGCCTTGGATCGGAGCCCAGTCCAAATTTCCATCATCAAATCGTAGGTCTCCTTGTTCTTTGGGGTGTCCTTAGACCAGCCGCGCAGCTTGCACACGCGCTGAAAATGGCAGAGAAACAATAACCGTCAGTCAGCACCCACTCCCAAATTGAGTTATCAGAAGAGCCACCGAGCCAAACTGTGCATGCAAATCAACAAAAAACATTTGGCCAATTCGGGCATTGTTTTTCCTTTTCCCCCATTGTTGTTTTTGGGGATGTAAGTGCACCGCTCCACACTCGCATTTTTCGCAGAGTTTGCAAGTATTTTCCAAAAAATTTATTCACATTTTTTCGGTTGCTTTTTTATGGGGTATACTCGTACAGTAGTTTCCGTTTTGGTTCGGCAGCGCCGCCGCTCCACTTACCTCGATGGCCATCTCGAAGTCCTTAACGTCGATTTCCCCGCTTTGGTTCACATCTGTTTTTGGGGGGAGGAAGTATTGTCCGCATTGTTGGTATTTTTCGGGCAATTCAGTTGAAAGCAGTGAGCGTAAAGTGCATGTAGAAGTAGTCCCGCATTGTTTTGTTTGCGTTTGTTGCCACCCGAGCGAGGATGAACCGAGAACAGAGAACAGAAAAGAGCGATGAACAATATGAGCCTGGCTAAACGGATTTCATGGCAAGCGATGCATCTACCACACAGCTGTGACAAAGTTCCGGCTGCCGCAAGAGTGTGGACACCGCTCGGCCTCGGCATCGGCATCGGCATCGGTGGAAACATAAACACTATTGCCCGGCCTGCTCGCACTTCCTTCCGTACTGCTGCCACCCCCCCAACCACTAGTCTCCCCGCATCTCTCTGCCACATTCTACAAACATTTGGCTTTTGGCCATGCGGGCCTGTCATTATCATTTGCAACGGTGTGCAAACGGCCACTTCAATTTCAGTGTCAAGTGTTTAGCGCTTGCGTTTTATGGCTCTCTTTTCTGTCCCTCCGCCACTCTGTATTCTTTGTTATTTCCGGACCAGCTGGCTGTCAAACGGCGGGTGGGCAAGGAGCCAACGAGCAGGAGGCTGGCATTGTGGCGTTGCCAGCAAGGATAAGCCAGTCCCAGCGTCGAAGGTGAATTAGTCATAATTGAAAAGCACTTAACTTAACCTTTGCCCACAGTCACTGCGGTTGCCGCGCGCACTCCTCGAAAGTTTTCGCTTCTTTTTTTGGCATTTGCATGCGTTTTAATTCAATTTTAAATGTGGCAAGTTTTGTTTGACTTCTCTGACAAGTTGCAGCCTTTGAAAACGGAATAGAGTCGAGTGCGCTTGGCGCATTCAAATGGAATTCATGTTTTGGGTCATATTACGTATACGCAACGAGGACTGCCTGCCGTCTTGTCTTGTCTTGTCGGCTTGCCAAATCTGCAAGAAGATGTCGGCGAAACGGAATGGCATGCTAATATATGTCATTCGTATTATGAGTGTCCCAAAGGATAATAACTGAAATCCTTTTCCATTTCCCATTTCCCACTCCTGACAGCAGTCAATAGACTTGTGTGTGTGTGTGTGTGTGTGTGTGTGTGTGTGTGTGGGTGTGTGTGATGTATTTGACCCATTTAACAATCCCCCATTAAAGAACTCTGAAACAAATCGAGTGCAATCTAATCAAAGTTTTTCTGTGCGATACGAAAGCGGAATTTCTCCTTTCGATTTGGCCAATAACTCTCCCGCACACCCACACACCGACATCGATTGCTGTGGTTTCTCTTGAGAAACTCCATGCTGGTGCCCCTATCATCGGCCATTCATCATTCTGGCACGCATACGACCCCTTGTACGAGTACTCACCAAAGAACACGTTGAACAGGAACAGAAGCTTCTTCTTGCGGAAATCGGAGATCGACATTATTCTGGTTGTTGTTCAAATTGTTGTTATTTTATTTAGTGCGCTTTTATTGGCTGTACGCTGCTGTGGCTGCTGCTGCTGCTGTTGCTATTATCTTTGCTCCTCGCTAAACGGAAATGGGGAAACTGCAACGACAACAATGGATAAAATAGCAATACTCAATTATATGGGGAGAGCCAGAGGCAGTTGCAGCGCTTGGCAAATATAATCAAATATGGAAATGAAGTGTATTTCGTAGTGAGACAGCTTTTCGAATTTCTGGCTGTGCCAAGGAAGAGGTCGTATCGTAAAATTAGCAGTCATGGCCAGGAGGAAGCTGGTAAAGAGCCAAAACCAGAACGGATTGGGTCTGCTCTAGTTGACTGGCTTTGTTTATGGGAACTAATTCAGCCAAAGGAAATAAAACAAGACTGCCTAAGAATGCAAAAAGAAAAGGAGCTTCGCGTAATGCAAACGCATCCTGGCGATGCGGGAACGAGGCAGGGCGAGGGGGCTTGAGCCAAATGTGACACAAATGCAGGCAATGGCTTTAGCTGAGGCAGCCTGCTTCTTGCTCCCTTTGTGTGTGCGAGAGCTGCTTGGCTCATTTAACCTTCAATCAAAAGCACACCGAGGGCAGGGCGGCCACAGGGGAGACCTGAGCGGAAGCAGGCTGGCAGGAGGCTGGGGCACGGGGCCATGTGCTAAATTAAACAAAACTACGAGAGTAAGAGCATACGAGAGCATATATGGCGGAATTCACTGGCATCAGGTTGCCAGGCCATGCCATGAGCCATCCGCAGCAAATCATCAAAAGGCATGGTCATTGCCATTCCTCCTGAAAGCCCTCGTGTTTGCTTAACTGCCATTAAGCGGCATGGATGGTCGGGGCGTGGCACCAGGGCGTGGCCAGGGCCCATCGCAATATTTACTTTAGTTTTACTTTCGGGGACGGTGGCTCTCATCTCATCCCATCTCCCATGCTGCCTGCCCTGCCATTTTATTCATCTCGTCTCGGAAAGGCAAAGGCAGTCAGAGCATAATTCCACAACAGACGGAAATTGCAGCAGGGTTGTCGAGTGGAATGCAATGAACATGACAACGACAACGACAACGACAACTACAACGACAACGACCAAACCGTTGGCCAAGTAATGCCGATGGCCGATGGCTGATGGCTGTTGGCTGCTGGTGCCGGCGGCAGCAAAGTCAAAGCATTCGCAATGTGCTGGCTGCTGCCCCTTTTGTTTTGTTTAGTTTTAGAAAATGCACTTTGCCTTGGAAATAAAATTAAATGGAATATCTCCGAGTCGCAAATTTGATATGCTCATGAGCGTAAAATGGGAAAGAATGCTTTCAACTCGTAGAATGCTTTTGGTCAGCTGCAGGTAAGCGGTTTGCCACTCACTAAAGCTAATATTGGCTGAGTTGGCTGAAAAGGCAAGGATCATAGCAGCCAAGGCACCTGCAGGTACCTAAGGATGTTGATTTTATCGCTTACAGACCATCAAGATGCGGATAAATTTTGTTAAGAGGCTTGTACGTTTTCACTTTTCATAATTGGGTAATGGAAGATGAGGGGGATTCCCATCAAAAGTGTATGATTTAAAGTGGAGACTGCTCTAAGCAGCTAGCTTAAATACGTATATTCAAATAGCTTAAATTTGCAGTCAAGTGTCTCAATGCGGGCAAAAACATACAAATTCCCTGACATACGGCATACATTTACACATTATTCCGAAAGAATAAATAATCGCTTGATAATGAGATATATTAATAATTAATATTGTATAATTATGTTGCACACAATGTTGCCTTTAGTGTCACCTTCATATTGCATTTTACACACGTACACGCACAGGACATGCCGCACAAACACTCTCACCCACATCCATATCCGACTGTCACAGTTCATTAATTTTCTACGTGCGCATCAATTAACATCACGTGGAATCGCACAGAGCGAGAGGAAAGCAGAAATGAATAAAAAATACATATTGGTAGCCTGTACAAAAAATATACAGATCTCAACTTACTAAGAGCCTGGCAAACACAGCAACAAATGTGAAATTCAATTTGGCGCGCTTTTCAATTCATTTCGATTCGCAATTGCTTTTCGGCTGTCAGGCTGTCTGCCACGTGCCATAAGACCTATAAGACTGCCTGCTCGACAGGACGAATACGTAATTTAAGCCAATGAGTCGCCTTTAATTCGAAAGTGGAAAGTTGCAAATGCAATGGATTTTAAAGCCTTTCAATAGCCTGACGCCAGTATTGTTTATCTGCGAAATTAATAATTAAATATGCGCACAAATTGAATTCGGCGGAAAGCAGATTACGCATACGCCCTGTTCCACCGCTGTTTGCCGTTGTGGCATTTGCATTCTGTGAATTTCGAGCTGCCATCTCCCCGCACCGCCCCGCTCCGCCCCTCTCCTTTAATTACCAATACTCATGCGCCAATGCATAAAAACCAAACGCTGCCAGCCACAAATGGTGCCTGGCTTTCGTGGCACGAGGCAACCACATTAACCAACATCGCTGAACGGTCGTTAATTAGTTGCTCTTAGAGTTTCCCTTTCCTCTCCTTCCTTTCTTTTCGAGATGTGTTTCTAATAAACTCAATATGGCAGCGCCTCGCTTATTTTTTATGGGCCATCTCCGCATAAATATCCACCAGCAAAGTTATAAATTTCAATATATGAAGACATCAACATTTTAATTGCTGTTTTAGTGGCCTGTGAGCTATGGAATGGGCGATTTGATTTGATTCCACAATTTATTGAGAAAATGGAATTAGACAGAGCGGTCTTGAGGCCCAATTTCATTTGCATAAACCCAATTTTGGTTGGCTCTGCAGAATCCATAAACACACAGAACGCACACGGCGACAAATTGGCAATAAATCAGGAGGGATTGCAGTCTTGATGACAATTGCAAAAAATATCACCTGCTGAAAAGTATGCTACAATCGAGCTGAACAAATATTGACCAATTTTTCATACAATTTTTAAATTGTTTTGTTTGTTTTCTGATTGCAAATCGAATGTTCTCCTCCCATGGGGAAAAGAGTATTGCTCCTCAGATATCTAAAATATCAATTCTAACATTGATTGACAGGCCTTCAGACAATCGGAAAACTTTAAGTTGTTTAATCCCCCACTGGCCCCATTGACCAAATGACCCAATCGCCAATCGGCAATGGGCAGTCTCAGCCGCTGTTCAATTCCCAGTGGCAGTCCCAGTCCGGGTATGGATTCTTTCTCCGTTCCGTTCCGTTCCGCTTTGAGTGCGGGGCAGTGGCACAGTTTTTTCAACGGTCACTAATTACTTTTGCGCTGCCGTAAATTTGCGCAACCAATTTAAAATAATAGACAATGCAAAGCGGCGTTGTCGCTAGCTCTTTATCTGCTGATGCAGCTCCATGGGCGAACCGCAAACTGCAAGCGGAGCACCAGGTTCTCTGCTTTTGTTGCACTGTCCATCCGAGTGCGGGTCCGGCCAGCCAGTAATTTCGTGTAATTTGCATTAATTTACATTTAATTTACTCTACTGGGCCGCAACTGGAACAGCGCCTACGAAGGAGAAGGAAGACAATGCGCGGCCTAAGGCCTGCGACGCATGCCGCCTGACCAAACAACAAGCGCACTGGCAGGACGACGCGGACGACGCGGACGACGAGGACGACGAGGACGAGGATCCTTCGAGGACGAATCTGTCTGGTGTTGGCACATTGCGCTATTATTTTTTGTTTCTTCTCCCTCTGGGCAAAAACTTTATGAGAAACTTGTGGCCGAGCGAGCAGCACTTTCAAATGAATTCATTATGGCAGCAGCGAAAAGGTGGAGAAGTACAAAATTTTCTTTTACTTGTCCGGGTCCGTGTCCGTGTCCGTCCCCTCTTGTACTGCTACCGTTACCGTAACCGTTACCGTTCCTTTAGAAACTATCTGCCCACTTAGCCAAGAGCACAACTCAAGGAAAACTGGGCCTCTGGTTCCTGTTCTCCTCCCACTTGCTCTTATTCTTTGGGGCACTTTTGCTCGTTACTTTTGGCTTGTTCTTGTTCTTGCGCTCGCTTGTTCTTTTGTCGGGTTTGAAAATTGTTCTTCAAAAATTTTGAGGTGTTATTTTTTGTTTTGTTTTTTTAACGGAAACTCTCAACACAAACACACGGGCACAGGCACACGGGCTACACCAACATTAACACTCCAGCGAAGTAGCAGCTCCAACTGCATCCGCTGCACCTGCACCACTCACACAACGAAAGAGTCGAATGTTTCACTTTACCGTTTGACTGCAATTTGTGGCTTCCACTCTCTGGGCTCTGGACTCTGGGCTCTGGGCTCGTGTGCTCGGCAACGCGGTTCGCCGTTCTGTGTTGCTCGCTCGGGCCGAGCCAGCGGCTTTTATACTCGCAAGCGAGCGCCCAGCCAGCCAGCCAACAGCAGCCAGTCCGTGTCCATGGCGTCGACGTCGGCGTTGGCGTTGGCGTTGGCATCGCTGTTGCATGGAGTACTTCGTGGCAGCCGCCGACGACGTCGTCGTCGTCATAGTAGTAGCTCTGGGTGCTTTTTGTCATCGTGCGCTTTATCTTATCGCAGCGTCGTCGCCGCTGCTGTTGCTGTCGCTGTTGCTGTCGCTGCCGGCGTCCGCTCCGCTGAGAGTGTATCTGTGTGCAGTTTATTTTATTTTTTGGCCACCACGTGCACTGTTACGGCCTCAGCATCAGCATGCGGCATATTTGGTCATGGGTTTGTTTTGAGATTTAACACTCACAGAAAACTTCCCGCTGAGGTTTCTTGTAGATTCTTCTTGGGGCTACAAAGTAGTGGAAAGATGGGGCACTTAATTGGAGGGACAGAGAGATAATTGCACTTTCATTATCGGTGTACAAAGTCTGTTGCGTTTTGTAAACTTAAGTGGTCTCTTTTAGGCAAAAATAGACAGCAAATATCTATTGATATTTTAAAATTCATTGTCCGAAATGCGTGTGTCTTTGGGTAGGCTTACAATAATTGA